CGTCGGCCGCAAGCCCCGCCCCCGCCCGGCCTGCGTCCCAAGGCTCATTCATCAACCCCTCAGGCCCCGCCCCGAACTCCAGGCCCCGCCCACCACGAGTCAGGTCCGAACGCCGCCGGGCAGAGCTCCGCCGCCGCCTGGGGCTCACCTCGCTGAACGCCCCGCGTCCGATCACCTTCAGAATCTCGAAGTCGTCCCTCTGCAGTCGGACCTCCTTAAGCCTCCCCACGATGGGCTCCGCTGGGGGCGCGGTGGGGGGTAAGACCCGAGGATCACTGGGTCGAGGTCCCACCCTCCATCCCTCCAGTCTCCCCTTCTCGCTGCCTCTCAGCTTCACCTTAAGGCCTCCCAAGGGCTTGCCCGCATAAACACTGTGAGGTTTGGGGGGCCCCAACCTGCCCTCCCAAAGAGGTGCGGTGCCTGGGAACCGCTTGTTGGGACAGGGCATTGGGCCAGAGGGCTCCAGTGGCGTGCAGGATGGAGAGCACGGGTCACAAACACCTGCAGAAGGGACACCCGGAAGAGCAGGGGAAGAGGAAGCCCCAGTTCTCCGGCTCCCCTGGCTTTCAGGCTTCGCCTCTACTCCAGGCAATGGTTAAGGCGCTGCCGCGACCGGGCCCCACCCTGAGTTCTCATTCAGCAGGTCTGGGGTTATGGTCCATAAAGTGCCGCTGTCACAATACCTCTAGATTCAGATACAGGTGGTTCTTGGGCCGCACTTTGGAATACCCCGGATTCGGGGCTGGGGCAAGGAACGGGAGAAAGGGACAGAGCCAGCGTGGACACACATCCCAGACTCAAGTGCTCCTGGCCTTATCTCAGTCCTCCAGGCGAAGGGCTTTAGCACCGCCCCTTATTTACAGATGGCAATCAAGGCTCCCAGAGGTCAAGGTCCTACAGCCTAGAACGTCAAACCGGGCAGTCTGAAAGGGGTACAGGCTGGGGTGAAGGCTGAAGACCCAGGGACTGTGGGGAGAGGGAAACTTGGACTCCAAGGGGCTGAAAGAAGTGGAGGCAGGATGAACAGAGGGCTGGGGCGAGCAGGCCAGAAGGGAGACTGGGTTGAGGGGGAGAGGGGCCCTAGGGGGTTCAGGGATAGCGGGCCGGCTGGGGAGAACCAGCGAGGGCCAGGGACGGGGGAGGGAAGAGAGAGCCAAGACATTGAGCCCTTTTAAGGCAGCGGGAGCCCGGGCCCCCTCCCCCGCTGGGAGGCCTGGCAGGGGAGGGGCCGCAGGGTGCCGCTCAGGCCACAAAAGGAGAGCTCCTCACAGGAGAGCCAAACCCCTACCCCCACCCCGGGTCTCAGTTTACCCGGCCACCCCAGCTTCATCCTCTGCAAAAGGGAGGCTGGGGAGTCCCTAAGGGCTGGGGGAGGTGGGGAGAAGTTTCTTCCAGAGGCTGAGTGGCCTGGCCCTCGGCCTCCACCTTCCCATCTGTGAAATGGGAGGAGGGAGAGGTATGGGGCCTGGGCCAGAAAGATATGGACACAAGAGGGAGCAGGAGCAGGTGAGGAGACAGCACACAAAGACGCACTGTGACACACACAGGCCAAAGCCCAAGAGCAAGGCTGAATGCCAGGCCTGAGGAGGACTGGAGCGGTGGGGTGTTAGGGTAACAAACTGGTGAGCCGGAATCCCGGGCCTGGGGTGGGGTGGGGTGGGCTGCAGGGCAGGAGGTGGGAGTTGGGGCGTCTTCCCGCCAGACCAGGGCCCAGGCCCTGGAAAGACCTCCTGAGAAGGGCTCTGTGGGACAGCTGGAAGGCTGGCGGTCCTGAGTCAGAACTACAGGCTGTGAGACTGGAGGGGTACCATGGGCTGACCCTGCAGGCTGGTGGGACTGAGATCGTGAGTGTGGGGGCAGAGAGCCAACAGAGAGCAGGCACTCTTCAGTCTGGGGGATGAGGGGTGCGGGCGGCGCCTGTCTGCAGGGCTGGTTCTCCCCCAGGGCCTGTGTGAGTCACTGTGCCCTCCCAGAGCCTGGGCACCTGTTGGGGCAGCTGGAGACTGGCGCCGAACACCTGCCCGTCAGCCGCGCCCCTGGCAGCTGCCCCATGCTGTCCCTCCCCATGTGCCCCTGTGCTGTGGGAAACCAGAGTTGAGAGTCATGCTGCCCATTTGTGGGGAAGGGTCCTATGAGATGGGCTTCCAGCCTGTCCCTAGACCTAGACTTGGGGAGGGGGTGCAGGGAGACCACAAGAGGCTGTGCCCAGCCCAGCCTGCTGTGACTCCCAAGCCATGGCCCTTGAGTCTGGCCTCTGCTGACCTTACTCTGCCCCGCCTGGGTGGCACTGGGGTAGGGGAATGTTGTCTGAGGGCCCAGTTCCAAGCTCTGGGCCCCAGAATGGAAGGATCTCCCCGTGACCAAAGTCGGGCCCCTGGGCCCAGACCCATCTCCTGCCTCTGCCCTGCCCCCGTGCCCATCAGGGGGAGCCGTGCAGGCAGGCACTCACCCCACTGCAAGAAGTCGGCCACATACTTGTCCTGGGCCAGGTCGGAGGCGCCCAGCTCCTGGTGGACGCCCAGGAGAAGGTCGAGCAGGGGCTCCAGCCCCAGGAAGCCAGGGTCCAGCGCCAGCTGCTGGAGCCGCCTCAGCCGCACCTCGGCTGACATGTCGGACAGGCAGCACCATGGCCCCCTCCCCGGGCCAGGGGCTCGGGGTCCTCCTGTCACGGGGCCTGGCAGCCCCTGTCCAGGCTTTGGAGCCCCAGCTGCATGTCCGCCAGTCCCTGGCTGTCCCCTGGGCCTCTCTGGTCACTTCTCTCGGCTGCCGAGGCCGCCTCCTCTTCTCCCCACCCCTTGGTCCAGCCCCCCTCCCGCCTCCCAGCCTTAACCCCTCACAAGCCAACTCCCCAACACCTTCCTTCCAGGGCCCCTCAGAAACTTTCAGAGTGAGACTGAGTCTAGGGGAATGGAAGGAGACTGCCAACTCTCTCACCGTCCCCCAATAAAAAGTGGAGCACAGAGGAGAGCCACAGGTGTGACAAATTCCAAGACGAACCTCCCCATTGCCTACAGGGGACCAATCGAGGCTCCCAGTGATCCAATAACCACGCCCCCCTGTTCCTGCCAAGCCCTAGAGCTAGGGGGCGCCGGGGTAAAGAAAGGGAATGAGGCCTGGGGTGGGGGGAGCAGGAGGCCAGGGCAGCTTCTCGGGTGACTCACGATGGATTCTGACTTTGGGACAGTTAAATTTAGCCCTCAGGCCCACTGCTTCACACTGGGCTTTTTTTTGGCAGTAGGTGGGGAAGGGGCGGTGAGGAGAGATCAAGAGGGGACACCTCGGAGCCAGAACCGGGGGTGACCTGCTGCCCAGAGCCGGGGAGGCGAGCGATGGAGCCAGGCCCTCCCCAGCCACAGGAGACCCCAGAATAGCTCCTTGGCCCTTGGCCGGGCAGCCACATTCCTACCCAGGCTGGGATTAGAAACAGAAACATTTCGGGGGGTGGAGTGGGAGGATACAGCTCCCCGCAGCTCCAGCCGGCTGGGAGGGATTTAAGCTTTCCTCTCCAGGGTGGACAGTTCTGCAGAGTGGGAATCATGGCCTCTAGCTGGTTTCTGAGCATATGGGGGAGGCCTGCCTGGGCCAGCCCCTGGAGTGGGGACGGGCAGTTCTGATACCTTAAGGGATGCCCGCTTAAGACTTTGAGGAGAGGGCCCTGGCTGCCCTCTGCCCTCGAGATGATGGGTTGGGCATGCTCTTCCCAAGGGCTTACTGGCACTGGGTCCCCAGCTGTTTGCCGACCCTCCCCAGGCTCTAGCTTCTCCCGCTGTTTAAAGGGGTGGGAGGCGCCGGGCTGGGAAGGCAGGCTCGCACTCTTCCCTTGGTGGACGCAGCCCGATTCTAGGGCCAGAGCAATGCACACACACGTCCTCCACACACCGCCTCCGAAGGGAACAGAGCCGCTGTGAAAACAGGGAACTTTAGTATAAATAAGAGGTCCTGGGGACAGGGAGGGCCCTGAGGGGCTTCATAATTTAACACTCTTCAAAAGCACAGACAATAGCAAGGGTGGGTGGGGTGGGGGCCAGGTGAGGAGTGGGCCACCCCCGGTCCTGCCCTCTCAGCTGAGGGACACACCACAGAGTTGGGGCTCTTGTGGGCAGGGAGGTTCTCCCCCAGGAGTGACCAGTCACATGCTGGGGACAAGGATGATGTAACACTGTTTCATAGGAAGGGGTCATTGTACTTGGCAGTAGGTGGGGACAAGGCTGAGGCCACATGGGCCACTACATCCCCTGTGTCTGGGCCAGTCTGGGGAACCCCCAAAATTTGTGCAGGGTGGGGGACCGGAGCAGTCCATCCATCATGGTTAGTCTTGTTAATACGGTGATCCGTGAGGTCAGCGGGGAGGGGTATGGCTAGGAGCTGGGGGCATGGGGCGGGGGACCCCAGCATCCATGGCTTCACACCACTGTGCCGCTCGGGGAGTTGCCTGGTTGGGAGGAGATGCCCTGGGGAAGATGAGAGGGAGAGACGGGGGTTAGAGACCACCTAAGGCTTCTGGCAGTGCCAGGGGGAGGGAGTCAGCCCAGAGTCCCCATGGCTGCTGCCACCTTGGCCTTGCCCCCGTCCACCCCAGACCCCCCAAACAGAGGCCTTTGCTCCAGGCTGGGGAACTTGCATCTCAGCTAGCTTCCCTGCCTGGCAGTTGGCACTTGGATACAGTAGCCAAAGTCCTCATGGATCCTAGGCAGAAACAATGTGGGAGGGGCAGGCGTGGGAGGAGAGGGAGAAACTAGGGTCCCCTTCTGGCTTGGGGTGTGACCCTGAGATGCTGGGAGGGGGAAGGACCCAGGGACAGTCCTACCTCTACCACTGACTTGCTGGGTGACCTGGGCCAACTTCCTTCCCCTGTCTGGGCCTCCTTCTCCTCGTCAGTGAACTAGGGGGACATAGAGGGTCTCTTTCAGGACTCAGCCAGACTCCCCCAATCCCAAGACCCTCTTCTCTGAGCTCTGAGACTGTGTCCTCAAGTGCTAGGGACTCAGGACTCTAAGATTCCAAACCAAGAGCCAAGAAACCAAGCTGTGGCCCTCTGGGATCCTGGACAGCCGAGCCCAGATCCTCAGGAGCTGAGACACCTGAGACAAGCTCCAACGCACAAGGTTCCAGGCCTTTGCTTCGCCTACTGTGGCCTCCCAAGCCGACAGCCACCCCAGAGGCAGGCACTCTGCCCAGCGCGCATCGTAAAGGCTCTGTTCTAAGAGGTATGAATCAGAGGACAGAGGGGGCAGTGACTCCCCAGGGGTCACACAGGGGGCAGAACTGGAACCCAGGCCTGTGATCCCAGTCAGTGGCTTCAGCAGTAGGCTGGGATCCTGAGTCTCAGACCCAGGCTGGAAGTCGCGCCCACAGGCTCAATCTTGCCCCTAGCGTTTTGGCCAGAAGTACACAAAAAAGTTTCACCATTTAAAAACCAGATGTTCCATAGACATAAATACTGCTTCAAGTGACAAGTGCTGAGACGAAGCCATGCTGGGCCCATCACTTCCCTTCCCTTCATCGCTTCCTGGGGCCCCACTGCTCCAAGCTGTCTCTCAGCTGCCCTCGAGAAGCCCATCACTCTAAGAGCTCAGAAGCCTCCTTGTGGGACACTAAGGTTTCTACGGTTTCCCCTCATCCCATGGAGCCAGAGGTGTGACAATGACAAAGCCCTCTCTCTGCCAACTCCTGCCTCATCCCACTGAGGGTCCCACCTGGCCTGGGCAGGCTGGTGTGGGGCAACTCACCGCCTTGCCTGGCCGGGCCCAGGTGCAGATGAGGCCCTCTTGGCAGGCAGTGATGATGCAGTCCTCCAGGAAGAGGAGGACCGTGAGCCGCTCCTGGGCGATCTTCTTGCACACAAGGGGCTCCAGCAGCGGCACCTCGTGGATGCGCGGGCACAGCGCGGTGCCCAGCACCTTGGCAGGGTCCAGGCGGCTGCGGGGGGTGGGGCCACTGGGCTTGTCCCCACCGCCGCTGCCCCCACTGCCGCCCCGGCTGATGTTGCCCAGGCTGTGGTAGCGCTTATGCTCCTTCTCAGCCCCGCGGTCCCGCCGCTCCTGCAGCGTGAGTGTGGCAAAGCGGCCGATGCTGAATGGAGTACCAGGCTCTGCTGCCACGCCTGGGCCACCCGCCTTGCCGCCGCCCGCCGGGTGAGGGAGGCTGTTGGAGCGGGACAGGGAGCGGGGCAGGGGGCTGGGGCCTGACTCGCCACCCCTGGAGCTGCTGGCAGCTGGCGGTGTGGTGCTAGGTGTGCCAGGGAGTGTGCGGGTGCGGGCCAGGGGAGGGTGCGGGTACAGCACATCTTCAGTGAGGTCCCACAGGCAGAACTGCGTGTCCTGGCCCGCCGAGCCGAAGCGGTAGGTGATGGAGCCGGCCTTGGGCAGTGGGGAGAGTGGGACACCCCCAGTCGAGCCTGCACCCGAGACCTCAGGCTCCTCCTCGTCTTCGCCAATCCGCTCCCCGTCACCACTGGCTGCTGACGTCACCTCCTCTGCCCGCGTAGTGTAGGGGTCGAAGGCCACTGCATTGACCCAGGACTTGTGGCCGTGGCCACGGGCCACCACACGGCCCTCAGTGAAGGACCACACAGTGACCAGGTCATCTTCACCGCCCGTCACCACGTAGCGGCCATCAGGGCTCCAGCACACACAGAGCAGGCCCCCAAAGTAGCTCTTCATGAGCCCGCGCAGGAGCATGGAGTCGAAGTGGAAGATGCGCAGGCAGCCATCCTGGCTGACGCAGGCCAGGTGCCGTCCGTCGGGCGAGAAGGCGAACTCGTTGAGGGGCCCCTCCCCCACTGCCCACTTGGCCAGCGGGTTGCGGGGCGCCTTGCTCTTGGCAGCATAGACGGAGAAGCCCTCGCCCTGCTTCAGCAGGCTGTACTGGGGTGGGGCTGAGGCGCAGGGGTGGCTGACGTTGTACAGGTACAGGTGGCCGCTGGCGTGCGACGCCAGGAACAGGCTTTCCGACTCAGGCAGCCACTTAAGATATGTCACCTTGGTCTTGTCGATCAACCGCTGCCAGGGGAGACAGGCTGGGGTTGGGAGAAGGCGATAAAGCCTGGGCAGACCTCCTCCCATCCTGTTCCCCCAGGAAGGCCTTCCGACAGGGCCCTGCTCACTCAGCCCGTGCCATGCCAGGCCCGGAGCCTCCTCAGACAGAAGCTCCCACACTAGGGGGACAGATCAGTACCAGCTCAGGGGATGGCAGGGGAACAAGGGCTGCCAGCAAGGGGGCCACAGGGAGCTCCATGGAGCCTCCCCGTCCCATCTTCGGCGAGGGGACAGTCCTGCCTGCCGTGAAGCTGTGCTCTAACTCTCTCCACAGCCTTCCAGACTCATCACAAGCCGACCCCTCTGTGATTTCTCACAACTCATCCATCAGTCCTTCTCCCTCAGTAACTGCTCTGGTCATGTGGTCCTTTGCTGTCCTGCTTTGGGGACGTCTGTCCTAGCTGTCCCCTCTACTCAGAATATCCTCTGCTCAACTCCTTCAGGACTGTCAGCATCACCTCCCTGTAAGGCCCTTCCTCACCACCCTTATTAAACCACTGAGACTCCCTTGGCCCCGTCCCTGCTGACATGCAGGGCAAATGAACTTGATTCCCATCACCCCCATCTCCCCAGCTCGACTGAGAGCTAGCTCTGCAAGGGTGGGCCTCCTGTCTGCTAAGCTTCTAGTGCTTGCAACAGTGCCTGGCACAGAAGGGGTGCTCAGTAACTATTTTGTGAATGGATGAGCTGATGCATTTTTAATCCATTCACTGTTCCACTCACTCCCTTCAGCCATTCACTCATTCTGAGAATATTTATGGAACACTTCCTCTGGACCAGAGAGAACGAGAGGCAAGCCAAGAGCAGTCCCTGCTGGTGGATAAGGTCGTTGGCTGGCATTTCCTCGTGTGCCAAGTTGGCCCTGGACTGAGCAGTCTCCATATATGCTTTTTACAACAGCAGTCTGGTGAGGCAGGAATGAGAATCCCATTTTGCAGGGAGGAAAAGTGAGGCTCAGAGAAGAGTCACCTTCCCAAAGTGACATGGTAAGTAATGGTGCAGCAGGGATTTGAATTCAAAACCCACAGAGCCCCAAATTCAGAACAAGGGCATCAAATTAGGCTCAACCGGTTACTAGCCTCAGTTCTCTAATCTGGAAAATGGGCACCACAATTGCCTACCTATCGGCTGATGAGAACTCAAGGAGTCATGTGTTCAGCACAGGGCTAACACAGCATAGGGCCTGGGCACAGTAAGCACAGCTGTGATTATCACCTGCTGCCTGTCACCCCATTCCTCCTCATCCTGCCCCTCTCAGGCCTACACGGCTCCCCTGGCAGCTGCAGCCCAGTGACAAATAGTGTGTGGGAGGAAAGGGAAGCAGTTCTGGGTTCTGGGGGCCACAATCACCTCCTCATTGAATAACTTGCTGGTGTCCTTCTTGATGAGATCCAGGTATTGCACCTGGCCAGCTGAGAAACCCACCAGCAGGGAGATGGTCTCCGTGGCAGCAGTGAACTGGTTGAAGTCGTGGCAAGTGGGCTGGGTGCCCTTGTAGATCCGCTTGTCAATTGGCTTGTTGAGGTCAATGGACTTGAGTGGTGGGAGAAAAGGCGTTAATGGTCTATACCACTGAGAGGAAGGAAGAGGGTTTGAGGTTGGGGTAAACCACTAAGAGGAAACAGGGTTAAATCCCAGAGAGAAGTGGGTAGGTAGATCGGTGGGTGGAGAGAGAGGGGGCAACCACAGACCGGAAAAGAACCCAAATCACAGACAGAGCAGGGAAAAAGTACTGAAAGATGGTAAGGACCGCCCCCCAAGGCTACAGTACCTCCCCAAAGTCAGACCCCCATCCTGACACCCTTGCCCACAGCAGCGGGGGTTAGGTTCCGCATAGTCCCTGAGCTCTGATTCCTTTCCGGTCCCCTTCCTTAGTCTCAGCAATTCCCTTGGGACTTAGCACCATAATATTTCGAGACCCCCAAACCTCAGAGTCACCCAAATCCTCAGGACTCTAAAATCCAAAATCCCAGGCTTTCCTTCACTTTGGAACCCCTAAACCTCAGGACCCATCCCTCACAGATTAGGGATCCATCAAACCTCATGGTCCCCCACGTTTTAGATACATTCATCACCCCTGGGCTCTTGGGATCCCCATCACTTCCAGGGACCACCATGAACTCCAGGTGTCACATCCCTCTGGTACCTACACATCACTTGAGGGATGCCCGTCACACCTGAGGAGTTCTCGGACCAGCCTGATTCCCATCAGCCTAGAGATTTCCTTTCCTCCTCGAGACCCCCATTTCCTCTAGGAACCCACTCAGCTTCTGGACCCCATTAACCTCTGAGACCCCATCACTTCCAGTTCCCCTCATTTCTGGGTTTCCAGTCTCAAGAACCCCCTCCAACACCTCCAGACTGTAATACTTCTGGGTTCACCATCACCTCGGGTTTGCCCCATCACCTGCGGAGTGCTTGCCGCCCCAGAACCTGGGGGAATCCCGCATCATCTCAGACGCTCCATCGTGCCCAGAATACGGGCCACCCCAGAACCCCTACGCATAACTGGGGGGGAGGGGATTCCCCCATTATCTCCAAGATAGATACCCAGCATCCCGGGGGCCTCCCATCACCTTTCAGGATCCTGCTTTACCTCCAAGAATCATGCTCCCCGCGCTGCCCACCGCATCTGGGACGCCCACCCCTTGCTTCTGCTCTCTTTCCTAAGCTCAATTCGCGGACCCCCTATCACTTCTCCGGGACCCCTGTCCTCTCAGCGCCCAGGGCCCCACGATGCAGGCCGCTCACCCGTTGGCTCCCGCGGCGGCAGCAGCCCGGGTAGAAATAGAGCTCGCGGCCCAAGTTGAAGCAGACGCGGTCTCCCCCCGCGCCCAGCCCCGCGGGCGTGGCGGGCGGCTCCCCGGCCCCGGC